ACCTTTATTCTTTTCTTCACAATAAGGCTTTCAAATAAGTCATGGTTGTACGGCAGTGAAGCATCGGTGTTGAACACTGATGTCATGCTGTCGATGATGATGATGATGATGATGATGAGTTTCCTCGAATTTTTTTGAAATTCGCAGGGTTCAACAGGAATCGGGTCTGAATCATATTGATAGCTCCCAACATCGCTATAGAGGAGCGTATCTCAAAGGAAAAATCAAAAACAAACTATTTTTATCAAAAGTGCCGGACTCATCTACACGATTGCATTTATCCGGTGGGTCCAGGGGGTAGGGCACATATTGCTTTGTTTGAATTTTCTAGGCTCTCTGACATCCTCCGACCAGCTTGTGCAGATGGTTGATTTCACTCAGGCGTAAAAATGGGTTTCAATCAATACCTGAATGTTGGTAGTTTGGCTGCACTTGTTGGCTTTGGACCAGGTGGGAGTTGATCCGTTTGCTGAGCATGGAAATTTGTCTGAAAACGTTTCGCCACTGCCTAAGGAGAACGCGTAAATGCGCCAACTGGCACTCAATTGTTGCAGCATTTCAACAGTTTCGACGGCTTATCAAAGATATTAGATTTCGCAAACATTGACATGCATGTGAAGGCCAAACAAGGGGTCTTATTTTGTCAGGCTGTTAATCTCCGTACCACAATTCCGCCGACAATCTTGCGCAGCCGGCAAATTATGATTCCGCGTCCGGATCTTGACCGAATTAGCTATCAACTAGTTCAAGATGAACTGACTGTTACACCTGATTAGCCACCAAGCCTCGCGGTGGACTTGATTAAGTACTTATCCACGATCTTAAATTCTTCAAACATGTGCTGGAATTCTACAGAACTCAGCCGCACGAGCGCCTTTTGTCCTCCTTAGGAGGATCCATCAGTGGGTGCAACGGAATTCTTTCCATCATTCTTGACACATTGAAAAATAACTACCTCCAAACGCAAAAAATGGGATCTTGCAAAGCTTTTGGCAACGGTAGAAAATGATTTTGTTGTTTTTACTTATCTTAATTATTGACGAGAAGTTATATGAGGCTTGTAGATCACGCACACTGACGGACAACATACTGTTTTTGAGAAATGTAAAATGATTGGGCGACGTCAACAACATGTCTTCCGTCTGTCCTAATGAGGTAACCAAACTGTTTAATGGGGAATCAGTTATCGAAACTCTCGTTGTGCCTGATTCTTATTCACATATATTCGTCGATGTGGTTTATCAACTTGCAGCAAGAATCAAAGCACCGATTCGTGCCGCTAATGGAAACTAGCTTGCGAAAACCGTTAAAATTGATTGATTGAGGGATTACTGTTCCTTCCTGAATTTCGTGATATGCCAATATACAACACCTTCTCCGGTAGTTTTATGCCTCTTCTCTGTTGAGAGACTTCCAACCAATAGAGCATAATTCACTTGAAAGATGGAATACATGCACGCACCATTTTACCCTAATATAAATTATCTATGATTCAGCAGGTTCCCTAGAGGGAAGTGATTCTGGGGACTATATAAATTTCTACCTCAGGATGCCACCCAGTGGACGAATAGCCGTTCGGAACTCCGTAAGAAATAGCATGTGAGGAATGTGTACTGTCATGTATGCAGTCATACCTTTGGCCACAACATAATTAACTGTCCAGATAAAAATTCGGAGGCGTGCCAGTTATGGATTTATAGTGAACGTATCTATTCACATTGATTTAACTATTGAATGGATACTAAAGGCTCGTTCAATTCGATGCTGAGACTTTATGAATCCATATTATTCATCCGTTTAGCTACTAGTGTTACCTTTGGCCAACTTGGAATGTGACCTTGTCCGTCTACTTGAGTCGATGGAGAGTGGTTTCGTCCTTTCACATGCCTCATTCTATGCTTGTGTAGGGTGTGTTTAAACGAACGTTTAGTCCGTGTAGGTTATCAGGTGGTCGCATGAGTGAACTGACTGTCACCTTGTTACTTCGCTTCATTTAGTTAAAATTGCATCTCTTCCTCTACATTTGTCATACTGTCGACGTGTCGCTTTAGGTCCTGAAACGCACTTGTCGGTTATCCAGAAAGACATAGTGCCACATTAATTTTAGGAAAAAATCTTTTCATTTATTCTTGATCGACTCAGCGTCACGAATAATGGTAAACGCATAAAATTCCCGAAATGTGGTTGAGTTTCTACATTTTCTCCCGTCTAGCTAAAATAAGTGAATGAAAATGACTGTGAGATCTTGCTTTCTCCTTTAGGTTTCTCGACTACGAGAAGACCTCACACCCGAGCTTCAAAGTAAACTGATGAAATTCAAAAAGTCCTTGATAAGTGACAAGGCCAGATCGCTAGCCAAGTACCTGGACGTGAATATACAAAACCAGCTGGCCTGGCAGAAACGTCAGCAAGAAGAACAAGCTCAAGCACTTTTGGAAGAACAGCAAAAAACGCTGCATCAAAAACCTGAACCAGATGTAAGCAATGGACATTCTGCACCAACCGAGTCCATCTCCGCTGCTTCAGACTCGGAAGATGCGCCAACGGTGGCTCCTCCGAAGCCCCCTGAAAGATATGGATCGGCCAAACCACTTCCATTAGAGCCTACTGCCCGAGGCAGCAAATTGCCACCCGAGGATTCACCACCCGAACCCAATATTCTATCCTTTTCTTCTCAGGATATTGCTGAACAGATGACTTTTCTGGAAGCACAAAAGTACTCCCGCATCCAGGTGAGTAATTTCTTGTCGTGGTTTTGAACTCCTCTAGAACCACGTCCTACAAGAAACGAATGAAAAACGCTTTGTTTGAATGACCATGGTGTTCACGAGATGGATGACGTATATGTATGTGGATTGATGTGAATTAGCTTGTAACAAGCTACGGTAAATCCTGCTTTACTGTGTTTCTGACCACAAGCTTCTCAAATAAACATTTGCCTATTTCTTGGGGCCACTTAATCCTTCAGACGTTCAAAACAACCGAGATGGAAGCCTAGTCGAGAATGAATTTAACTTTATCTAACTTGCAACTGGAAGTACAGTTTGACGGTGCTGAAATCTAATGACTGAGTAGTTTTGGAAAGAAAATCAACGGACCCGGTGCAAATTACGGCCGCATGGAGGCCGTAACCATGCGCGCCGGCTCTTATCGATGCACATCTTGCTTCATATTTCCTCAAATGCAGGAACGATAAAACTACAAAATCACCTTTCACCGGGAAGGATTTAAAATTCCTGTGGGTCAAAAATCACCCAGACTGGCCTCTATGTGATCATCAAACGTCTGTTTGTTGTAGGCACCCATTTGTTTAGATCAAGCTCTGCTGTTGCCTTTTAACCCGGGGTATACCACCTCCTCACTGTCGTCTGTGCTTGGCCATGATCCAACCATATATTTTGTATTTTTTTCATGTTCCCCGATCGGGCTCTCGGGCAGCGTCGAAGTATTGGCTCTCAGCCAGGCATTTCTTTTCTAAATGATGGTGTCGCGGCTTTTTCTGTGGATTTCTTTTCGATGAAGTCATTCCTCCTATGTAGTTTGAACTTTTAGAGACCTATATGTTTAGAAACACCTCACTCCGTACCTGATACATTTCTTGGTGGGACAGATTGCTCTGTCATTCGTAAGTGTAGTTTTGTCTTCGCCTTGGGATCTCGTTCATGACTAACTACTCACACTGTTTCCAGAGATGATGCTAACAATGACTTTGCGGTCTGCCTTTCACAGATTTCTGAATTGCTGAATATACGTAACTTGGAACGTGGAAAAGCACCAAGTGTTTCGGCCTGTGCCCTGCACTTTTCCTCTCTGTCGAACTGGGCTACCCATCAAATTCTTGGTGCCCCCGCGAGTGATCGTGACAAAATTGCGAACAAACTAATGGACGTGATGGAGGTAATGCGAAATTTCTAGTAAAACGAAACGCTCATTCATCTTCCTTTGCAGCACCTCCATACTCTTCAGAATTTCAGCAGCTACTTATCTATACTCTGCTCGTTCATGCTTATTCCTGATAACGTATTTTCCAAGAAAACTCACGCCGTGAGTCACTTTGATTTCTGTTTATCGATGGTGTCACCAGTGGTATCAACAGTTATTTGATTTTTCTGTTCTCCTCCCTGCTCTGTTTCTAGCGCCTGAACCTGGTGAAACCATACATGCAACCGCCTCATTTCTCAAAGTATCGCCGTGAACTGGAAGTTGCCACGCCTCCGCTGATTCCGTACCTTGGCCTGATGATGCAAAATTTAATCGTGTTAGCTCAGGGGAATCCATTGTTCCATTCATCGCCTCCTCCCTCCCTGGAAAATATCCATAAACCTGAGCATGGCCCAATAGTGAACTTCTGGCGTTGTTGGAAACACTTCCTGATCATACATTTTATCGTGAAACAGGAGAACATGGATCCAGAAAAAGCGTAAGTGGTGCAGGCTTTGTGCATGCAAAAACGTATCCTTGAAAACAAATCATTTAAGCGTGGCCATGCGATTCCAAGAATGAAGCACCTCCGGTATAGTTTTGTGAGGTAGTTAAATACCATGAACATGGGTAGTTTCCTAGGCCTTTTTGGAACCGTTCTTGATGAAAGCGAGGATTGATCTTTCCATATACCGGCAACTCAGTTGCATTGCGTCGAAAACTCGCTGCTGGATTTCTCCAGGTATGTGTTTTGCGTACATGCACAGTGGCTTTCCTGTGATAGGCGTTCAACGTCTTATGACGAGTTTCGCAAATAGTAGCTGAGTGTTGGTTCTAGTAGACGCAGCCATTTCGATCACGTATTGGTTGTTCTTCGAAATTCGGTGGGGAAGAGTGTTGATGGCCCTCATATTCCTGCGATTTCAACGTCATTGACACCACAAGTCAGTACTTCTTGGTCACATAAATTAGGGAGTAAGTCACTGGAAGGCAGAATTAATTCGGATTACGTTAAGTGGACGACGCATTGGGTATCTTTTGTCCTAGTAGGAGTACTGTGGGGACATTAAACGCAGCTATACTGAAGAAATGCCGCGGAGCTAAAATCTTGTGCTTAGTTTTTGCTTTATGATGTAGCAAGCTGCAAGTTTTACGCCATTGATGGAGATTGTAAAGGTGGATTGCATTGGTAAGGGACCATTTGGATTCAGAGTTACTTGACGAGAAGGACCATAGGCTCCTGCAGAAATTGCTTTGCGTTTGCACTGAACTAAAGAATAAGGGTTGTTTGAAGCACCTCATCTTGAATATTTGACTCGTGAGTTTTATCCACAGGCCTTTGGAGAATATATGGCTTAGGTTCTGAACTCTTACGCTTTGATTTAACAGTCAGAATCATAAGACCACGTGTATCGGGAATTTTTAAAGGACCCTTCCCGAAGCTAGTAGTTTAGAAGTTTGACACACGTGACTGTGGATGGCTTCCCTAGCCTGTGGGCCCAGAGACGTAAACACGCAGGCCCGCTCCATACTATTGCAACATACAGAATGCGCGTTTGGGATCTACCTGGGCTCTTACTTATTTAGGCGAGCCCTACTTTCCCATATTTGGCTTCCTCCTTTCTCGGGATTTTGGCGTAACCCGTGGTAGAGTGCCGTTTTCTGATTTCTGAGAGCTGACAAAAAGGCCTCTTTTGGATACCTCGCACTTAGCCCGTGACCCCAGTCTCCCTCCGTTAGGCCCACTTAACCCGAGGACACATGCTGTAAGCCATCAAAATCTGAATCCTGATGCTGTTACGCATAACAGGTTCATTTTTGGACAGCATCTGACTCTTTGTTTTGTGTAAATATTTCGAGGCTATCAAATAATGCACTGTGGATCACTGTCGACCTGTAACTTCTCAATCGACTTCTTCGATAGAAATGGAGCTACCGGTGGCCTGGTGAAAAAATACTTAGTCTCTGAACATTACCCTAATTCAGGCGGATGGTGTCAGTTGGCCTTCCTAACGTGGTTGAACCTTAAGGAGTTCCAGCCACTTTCACCGTCTACGGCTCTGCGACTACTACAAAACGATGCCAAATTTCGGTCTAGCTGTCTTGATGCGTTGGCTACAGGTTTTTTGTTTACTTTTTCTACTTCACAGGCGATATGAGTCACTCGTGTTCCCCAAGTTGTGCGTAGCCGCAAGTTGACTTGGTGCACTAATTGGGTCGAATTACTGATTTACTTTCATGTCTATCGTACCCATCTGGTTTCGTGTTGTTGGGTCAACAAGTAGCTCATTCTTGTCATGTCAATTTCCGTCTGCAGCCAGTAAACCATGTTTGCCAACGCTTTAGGCCACCTTGTTAAGACGAGTCAGTGTCCAAGTAATAACACTGATGACAATAATGTTAATAGTAACAATAATGTTCACCCTTTTGGTGACTATGTGCCATGCCATCCGAAGGAGAGATTCTGTCAACCTACCCAAACCTAGGCAGGCTTAGTTGGGATGCCGACGTTCAGTTTGAACCACGGACCTTTCGGTCAATAAGTTAGCGCCTTAGGCATCGAATGATCTCGAGCTGTGGGAGGTCGGCTCACTTCATAAGCGACCCACCACTGAGCAGATATTCACCATATTACGCCTGGTAACATCAGTTCTTTGTCGATTTCTGAAGACTTCGTCATTGTCATGCGTCTCTGAAAGCTGGCCTTTGCGATAGTGACATGAATGTAAGTAACTGATAGTGTTAGTATCTCGTACATACTGTTTATCACCAGTAAATTAACTCTAGATGTAATCAAGGATGCTGAATCTTGTCACTCAAGGTCTGTCAATGAACGAATATCGCACGTGACATCCTGGACGGCTCCTCCTCGATTTAAAGGCACGGAGTGTGTGGCCGCTAATTCATGGTCAGCTCATTGAGGCTCTTTCTCACACTGTACCACCCATATTTCTCTTCACTGCCTACATAAGTAATCCCAAAGTCGATCCAGTCCCCGGGGCAGGCAGTCAAAAGTTTTTTTCATCCTCTCGGCTAAGTGAATTCTAACGGCATTTATATGGGTCTATCCACTCACTGGCGTCTTTGGTGCTTGTAAGTAATCAAACCCTTGTATATTGGTCAGTTCATTTAAGTTTGACACCGACGAGTCTCAAATAGTCAATTACTTTTAACCCGATGTTCAGACCTGCAGTTGCTTTACGCTCCACTTTTCAATTTCCCATATTTAGGTCGAGGAGACAAGGGGCTTGAACATTTCGTTACTTCTGTTTTCGGGTTTTAGGACACCTATTTTTTGTGCAGTCTACCATTTTTCGCCCAGGGAGGCGCGAATACAACGGTTGGATGTTTTCACACATGAATTAAATGCGATAGATCATCTTTCAGTCTTTCTGCATGTATACCTTAAATCCGCTCTTATTTGGTCATCTCATTTTAGCCACTACAATATCACTCCAAAGAGTCAAGTTCTGGACTTTCTAAACGACTTTAAGGATTCACCATCAGAGGAGGATCTTCGACGTTTGGCGAATAAACTACGTCGAGGCGAGATCTGATACCCCCGTGTTTTTCCACGCACCCCCTTCCGGTCCATCCGTCCTCACGCTGATTTTTTTGGCGAACGATATACTTTTCGTTTTAATTTATTCGCACAATCAACATATTTTGCACCGTATTATTGCCAATTTCCTTTTTTGACCCATGGCTGTTTGGTGGTGGCCTGCACGGCTTTCCGCCATTGTAAAGCGCCGCACCAGCGTGTTTCGTTTCAAACGCCACTACCAAAAACTCTTGGTTCTATTCATTTATATATTTCCCGAATTCTTACTCAAAGAGAAATGTGTTTAGCACCGACAGATATCATCTCGCTCTACCAGTTACATGCCAAGGTCTAGGTCTCACATTCCTTACCTCCAAATGCTCCCATATCTCCTCCGATGTGTGGTTTTCGGTTCACTCAACCCAAAGCTGAACAATGCTATTTTTCTACTTTTGGTCATTGAACGTTCCTTGTGCACTTGTGCATTATTTCTGTAGTGGGTCGTTGCACATGTCCACTACTATAATACAACATATCTTGTTAACTTCTCGCTGCGAAACTGTTTATTCATGAAGTGGTTGGGACGACGCTGTCTTTTTCATTATCCCTTTCACGTTTTGTTAAATAGGCAACTACTGAGCAACTGGCACAGGTCTGTTGTCAGCGCCATTTCATCTGTCAATACGGGTATAAACTACTGGGAAGTTGTCCTGAGTAATTTGTCATGCACTGGAATACCACAACAATTTAGGCAGCCGACAACTTTTTCGGTTGCATTCGTTGTCGTGGCACATAAGAGTTTTAACGCAGTGGTCTTCTCAACGGGAATCTCACAAGACTCATCAGAAGCCTCTGAGTAGTTTTCGCCTTAAACCCATCCAAATGTCACCGAGATCACTAACGTCGAAGAGAAGATCGAAGCGAAAACCATCCCAAGGTTGTTTCTATCACCAAGTATGCCTTAATAAAACGAGCAAAGTCTGAGTCTCCCGGCATACTGAACTCCTCTCGGTATCTGCTAAGCTGTCGGCAATCTTCATTTCCACTCAATTTCATCACTACATCGCTCCGCCAATTTATTCTCCAAACTGTCCATTCTGATCCGCTCGGTGTCTGACTCGCAGTTTTCTGTTTGTGGGCAATCTTGAGAATTATTCTCGCGCGGAAACCACAACCATAGAACTAGTTCCACGGAAGTTCTAGAAAATGGAGCTGACGGTAAACTCGCGAAATGCAAAATCATTTAATTTTTAAGGAAGACGCTAGCGAAAACCATCTGAGTTTCTAATTCAGGATAATCCGCAACTCAGTGTGTTGCACAAAGAGGGCAACTTTTTTCAGTTAACAAGATATTTGAGATAACAGCTTGTTTTCTTGAAGGAACTACTTATATAGTTGCTAAAAACTCTACGACAGCTAGCGAGCGGTTTCATGCTTGTTCAGGCTCATCAGGTAGGTGCAGTAATCGAGTTCTGGTAAACTGTTCCTC